GTATTAAAAAATATATATATTCAATCAAATTGAAAGAGTTTTCAAGTCCGCGGAAGCCTATAAAAGGGGCCCCAAAGTCCGAATTGTAACGTAGCAAAGAGCACATAGGAGAGAGGCAGATAAAGCCGGTATTAAGAAGGCGGAGAAAAAATGGGAGGCTGGGCAATTGCCGTGCATGGTGGCGCAGGTGTCGACCCAAATCTCCCTAAAGAAAGGCAAGAGGAGGCTAAGAGGCTCCTCACTCGTTGCCTTGATATCGGCATCTCTGCTCTCCGTTCTAACCTCCCCGCCATTGATGTCGTTGAACTCGTCGTATGTTCCCCTTCCTTTCCTTTTAAACCCTTAACAGTAATGTTTATCTAATAATGGAGATTAGATACGTTTAAAAATTAAAATGGAAATACATTCAAAGATTTGTTAATCTTTTCTTCCTGGGAAATTAAGTTTTGGATTTTGTTTTGATATAGGTGAGAGAACTGGAAACCGATCCCTTGTTTAACTCCGGGCGTGGATCTGCCCTTACCGAGAATGGAACGGTGGAAATGGAAGCCAGCATTATGGACGGACCGAAGAGGCGATGCGGCGCCGTTTCCGGTTTAACCACCGTTAAGAACCCAGTGTCCCTCGCTCGACTTGTCATGGAAAAATCACCACATTCGTATCTGGGCTTTTTGGGTGCCGAAGAGTTCGCCAAGAAACAGGTCCTTAGTTCGGACCGAATCCCACGTTTTTAAAATGCTTTGGGATCTTGGATTCTTTTACCCCACGTGACAGAGACAAGTTTGTGTTGTATTTGTTGCAGGGCGTAGAGATGGTGGATAATGAATACTTCATTACCCAGGATAATGTTGGGATGCTTAAGTTGGCAAAGGAGGCCAACTCAATCCTGGTATACACACGTTTAATGTTTGCACTACTTTCCTTTTACGAAACCACCACATTAATGCAGTGGGACAATGGCTAACGTTTTCTAGTTTTGTTTACTCTTCAGTTTGATTATCGGATCCCCACTGTTGGCACCTGTGGTGCCGGCGCCGCCATGGACAGTCCTTTGCAAATGAATGGACTCCCAATCAGCGTCTACGCTCCGGAGACAGTAGGGTGCGTGGTGGTTGACAAGGAGGGCCGATGTGCCGCCGCCACCTCTACCGGTGGGCTCATGAACAAGATGATTGGAAGGATTGGTGACTCGCCACTTATCGGTTCGGGGACCTACGCATCAGAGCTTTGCGGGGTGTCATGCACCGGGGAAGGTGAAGCAATCATCCGTAGTACGCTGGCGAGGGAAGTATCGGCTGTGATGGAATACAAAGGTTTGAAACTGCATGAGGCGGTGGATTATGTGATAAAGCATAGATTAGATGAAGGCCAGGCGGGGCTTATTGCGGTGTCCAAGGACGGTGAAGTGGCTTGTGGGTTTAACACCAACGGTATGTTCAGGGGCAGCGCCACCGAGGATGGGTTCATGGAGGTTGGCGTATGGTGAACGTCCTTAGTTGACCTAAGAGAGCTTTGCTTTTTTCTTTTTTTGGGGTGGTTTTATTAGTAATGTCTGTCACGTGTTGTTCACACTATCTCTGGTTTGGTCAGTTTAAGTTTGTAATTGAACCTCATCAATGAATGAAAATGTTAACAGGGAACTTCATTGGGACACCCAAATATGAATAAATCTAACTTTAATATTTCTCTTGCTTTCAAATAGTTTACATATTATCACATGTTTTTGTCGGCAATGAAAACAGCCACCAAACTCCCGCTGCCTGCAACGGTAGAATCTTGTTTGGATACTCAAATTTTGGACATCCATGCCTTGGTTTCCTATTATTATAAGCTTATGTTTTACGTACTGTAACTTAGTATATTGGAAGCTTTTACTAGTAAAAGTTCCAAACCTTGGTTGACATCAGATAGAACCAGTGAAATTTCACTGTGACTTGATTCCGAACCCTAAAACGGCAGCTATCCCCGTAGAAACACTTAACACGAAGTTCCTGATATATATATATATATATATATAAAGCGCGACACATGCTCAGCTTGGGAATATACTACTATAGAACTAGTTGGAGAAAGGGTTTGACCAATATTCATGTATCTTGGTTTTTCATTTTGTTGTATTCAATAGTAAAATTTCACTTTGAGCTAAGCAAAAGAATTTGTTGTTAGTTTAATTTTCTACCAAATCATGTGGGCTGCTGCTACTTGATTCCTGGAATCTTAGACCAACAAAATACACCCAGTTAGCTCTTTCTCCCTTTACAGTGGCCTTTGGCAATTTTCTAATCAAGATTCATGACAAAATCTTGCACCAAATCTATACCCTCTAATCAAAATAGTTCAAATTTTCAAAAGCTAACATGCCTTTATCTTTTGACCTTTAGTTTAATAATCACAACTCACGAGAGGGTATCATCAAAAACAAAATACCCCCATCTTTGGTATTTACTGTTGCTTTTAAATGGACCTGATATTTCAAAATTTATATTCAAGATTCATACCAGTATCTCCCAGTAATTTAAATCATCTTTCCGGTTTCCAAGCCAACACCCTAGTTTTTCACTCCTTTAACTCTCCCTTTGCTCATTTTCCTTTTAAATATATGCCAAGTTTAATAGTTCAGTAATTTGAAATTTCCAAAATCGAACAATAGAAGCCGAAAATCATTGAAAAACCTCTTCAATTTACCCCAATATAATTCAACATCTTCTTTATGTATTGTATCAATCTTCTAACATCTGCTGCCATGAATCTTGGATAGGCCGAGATCTAAATTTGGAAAATCTCCAACCTTTTGGACTGTCTCGATTGAGCAATTTGGATAGGCCGAAATCTGATACTTTAGGCTGACAGGTGTAATCCAGCAGTATGTTATGTGGCTTGACATCACAGTGCAGGACCCATTCTAAGCGCTCTTCATGCAAATAAGCCAGCCCTTTCCTGGTGCCCACCTCATTGTCGAACCTTTTCTTCCAATATAGTGAATTAGACGTGAGGCTGTCTGCTGACGATCCATTTTCCATGTGTTCATACACAAGAAGCTTATGCTTCCCCTCTGCACAGTATCCTCACATCTCAATCAACTTCATGTGGTTAAGCCTGCCGATGGTGCTTACTTCTGCAAGGAATCTATCTTCTCCTTTATGAGCTTCAACGTTTGGTTTTCATGGCATCGATTTGTTGATCGGGTAGAACTCCCTTGTAAACCACCCCACCACCTCCTATAATCTCTTCATGAAAACCCTGCGTGGCCTTTTGAATCTTTTGAAGCCAGTTGCAGCAACATGGTACCCAGATGCGATCATGCTCGACAGTGCGTCTGGACTTTTCCCTGTTATATACAAGAAAAAGAACACTAGAAAGATACACATCACTTCAAGCAATCCTATTATAAAAGCGCACCAAATCAAAATATTCAATGATCCATGTCCAGTTTTCTTAACATAAGATCTTTCAAGCTGTTTTGTCTGATTGCTGGAGCAATTTAACATGAAGTCTTCAATAGGTTTATTCTCAGGGAATGATTTCGGGAGTTTCAATTAAAGGGTTCCAACGTAGCTATTGTAACGATGGCCATTACGCAATTCCCATTTTGAATAACAGCGATAGCCACCATCTTCTGGGAAATATCTATATTGAAAAGAAATACAAGAATCATAGCAAACCTTGACACACTCCTGGAAGTTGTAATTCCTGATGATATCATAACGGTAGCCGAAGAAATTAACATAAGAGTTGAAGAAATTAACATAAGAGTTCGAAGAAAGTTGACATCAAGATTGCAGCTTGAAAGTTCGAATTCCGGTTGGCAGCCATAGTTCCAAATTCCAATCCCTTTGGTTTTTTCATGTTGAACCCTGGAGGACAAACTCTCCTGGGGCCGAACCAGGATCATAGCTGCATATACCGTTCAGTTCACAGTCCCCGTGAATCCTACAGGAGTTCAACATAGCTTGCCACGTATCGAATCAAACCCATTGTTCTTCAAGACTGTATAATTAAGCGTTAATCTAAGGCTACCATCGAAATCAAGCGTTAATCTTATCAGAGGTCCAAAAGCCAAATCAGCTGATCTAAGCTCCGTTTTTTCAGAAGATATAAAAATATCCTGAAGAATCCAACACTGCGATTTGGGAATAATTGTATCTAGTCCTTCCCTGGTGTTAATCCAACATCGTTGAATCGGGCCAATAGATGCTGGATGTCTCGGGATTATCTAAAGACGAGACGAAGAATATTATCATTGTCTAAGTGTATCCATTGGTTAAGTGAAGCTTTGCCAAAGAGTAAGATTGGTCCTAGGTTGGAGTACGAGATTACCGGAATCAAGGAGTTTCAACTGTGACCACGAGTCTTTAACTTCAACAGTGTTATTGCTCATCCAGATTATGACTAGATCCTCATCAGCATCAGTTATGATGATTTTGTTGGTTTTGAGTATGAGCAGCTTGGATCGCCTTCCATTAACGGGGGTATCACGGTTTGCCATCCAAACTAAACCAGCGGAGAACACGGCATTTGCAGATACCAAAACATCAGCTGGGTTCTCCACAGACAAAGATGAACCTTGTCTTAAATATGCAATAGCAGAGGATGTTAAGAGCCATTGATTTAAATCACATGGCGGCCATGAAGCTGCCAAATTCATGGACCCAACATTACCTTCACTCACCCTGGAGAAGTAGCAGTTTTTGTTATCAATTTCAAAACCGCCTGTTCGGAGAAGGAAGCACTCAGCCTAGGCTTTTGCGAGAATCCAAACGCTCTCTGTTTCTTTCAATCTTGCCATGCAAAAAAAAAAATGCAGACAAAAGGTTTGCAGTAAACATTCTCTACCAAATGGTATCCAATCAGTTGACCAATGTGCTATATCCCAGCATTTATAACCAAAAAGGGTATTGCCACAACACTTTGGAAACCACAACATTAAATCTAATAAACATAAATCCAAGTAACAATTTCAGAGTTAACATTAACGCACAATTAGAGATTTAGTTGATAGCCCCAGCTTAAATACAAAAATCCAAGCCAAATTTAAGAAAACAGCAAAACAAACACCCAATACTAGAAATCAAAATTATACATATACACCTAGTTCATTCGTTTATGATTAGTTAGAATTATCTGTCTCTGCTCGTGAAATTCATCTTCTCGTAATACTGAATAGAGAAAAGAGACAGACAAAGATGAACCTCATCTTTTCCCCACCGAGCAGGCGGCTTTGAGTTAATAATCTTTGGTGGAGCCCACCGCGAAGCTGATGCAGCTTGTGGCTTGGAAAGCGGCCATAGGTAACGGGAGTGGAGACGCCGGAAACCACCGAGAGGCAAAACGACGGATCTAAGCTGTTGGGTTCCACAACCGATATTAGCCCAGTGCCTGGTACAGATCAACTCCCAGAGACGCTCGTCTCTGGCGGTTTTGAGCCACTGTTTGCTAACGCACGACGCCATTGCTAGGGTCCTCGCGTCAACGTGTTTGAAGACCTCGTACAACAGGTTTTCATCTAAATTCATCAACCCTGTTTCTTCTTCTTTTATTTTCTTCATTTTCGGTTGGTGGACCTGAGCACCTGGGGAACTTCGTTTCATTGGCAGAAGCTGGAACCTTGATTCTGGGTTGGTTTGTTTTTGTTGCTGTTGTTGAGTGGAGAATGGGAAATAACGAAAGGGCGTTGGTGGGGGTGGGTGAGTGTAATCGGAGCTGTTTTTGTTGGCTTTCAAAGAAGACAGACGAGAAATGAAAATGGTGATGGGGATAGGGGTGATTATATTGCAGTCATCGCAAGTGGGGCAGTATCAGATTCGTAATCGTTAGAAAATTTTATTGCTAATTCGTTATTCGTTAAGTTTGTTAAAATTATGTTTGATTCGTGCTCAGTTTATTAAGATCTCGATTCGAATGTTTATCAAATTTTGAACAAATCAAATTTGAGCTGTTTAACTCGTTATTGCTCATTAAATTCATTAAAATTGTGTTCGACTTGTGCTCAATTCATTATGATCTCAATTCGAACGTTTATCGAATTTTGAACGAACCAAATTCAACCTGTTCAACTCGTTAAACAAGCCTAGGTGGGGCTGTTCGGTTCCTCTGTTTTCTTTTTCTGTTTTTGTCTTACATATTGAATTCACAAGTTTGTCTATTCTGCAATTAATACGACATCAATGAAATGCCTTTTTGTAATGGCTAATTTATTTGATTAAGAAAATAATGGCATCTAATTTATTTTATTTAAAAAGAAATAATGGCACGCAATTTATTAAAAATAAATTAATACTTGTGTTTTGATGCTAGCATAAATGTTTAAATATTTGGAAAAAAAAATAAAATCAACATTACATTTATGGAGATTATTAATTTATCTAATTGCATCTTAAACTTTAGGTTGATAAACATGATATTTATTTAAATAAAAGGATTATGTTGTAATTATTGATGTTTGAATTCGTGATCTCTTACCATAACAATAATTATATAGTCACCCCAATCGTATGTATAGTCCATATTTAATTTTTGATTTAGGCTATGGTGTCATAGTCGTGGGAGATTTTTTTTGGCTTTCAACTCTTTGAATATCTCATTGAATTGTTTCCGACAGCAAATCATACCACAATCTATCATGATTAATTAGTTATAAAAAATTATATGAATATAGTACATTGCGTTATATTGGAAAAAAAATGATTCGTGTGTATATATATATATAATAATATGTAGTAATAATGATGTACATGTGAAGTTTGCCACTGACACCCATTTGCTAGTTTTTTTTAAGATAGCACTTTGTATTATAATCAATAACAAAATATATCACCTCAATGACCTCATTAAAAACCTCTCTAACCCTAAATGGAGGAAAAATAATATACTTTGAGATGGGAAAGATCTTATACAAGTAATGTTATTACATCATACAAAGCATACATGAATCCACAACCCAACTCTTACTAACACCAATACAGACCAAGCATCTGTTATTTACTAAACTAACGCAGACACAACACCAATGGTATGCATCAGAACAACAGCAGAAACCAGATTCGCCAAACCTGCTATAACACAGCATCATAACACCATAAAAACACCAATCTACAACCCAGCCCTACACCAATCCACAAGCCCAACACAGTAGCAATAGCATGCATTAGAACAGCATAAACCAATACAAACCAAGCAACTATGAGAAGTTAAGCAAAATGAAAAATAAACAATGAACTAACACAAGCATAGTAGCAATGAAATGCATCATAATAGCAGCGGTATCCGGATTGACTAATCCTTCTATAACACAGCAGTGAAACATTACTTAACACCATAAATGCACTGTCAACACACTCCAAGAATGAAGAACTGAGGACATCGCACAAAATCTTGAACAACCGAAATCAACGTCGACCATAAATCGTTCGGCCAAACCCCTATCTGGATCATGACTATATTAAAAATATGTTCCACTAAAAGACATTCCCCTTGAATCTTACTTTATTTCTTACATGACATCTCGATCAGCTCTAAACTTTGAAGAATTTCCTGCCTTGAAGCTTCAAATTCCACTCCCAAAGCCTCCCTGATAGCCAAAGTCACATCGCTTCTTTCTCAAACCCCGACTTGCTTCCAGAATTATCTCCAAGAAGAGATCCACTTTTTTTTTCAATACAACATTTGAAATTGACACCCCACACCGACCAGCAGCACTCATCTTTTTCCTTTTGAAGCTGTTATTTTTCTTGGAAATATAATCTCTCACCATAATCGCCCCTTTTTTCACAGATTTGATTTTGCTTACATCCGATGATATGATCGTTGCTTGACTATCCAATGTAGTCATACCTTTCCTCTCCCTTCTTATCTCAACCGAACAAACCTCATACGTATCCTTGACAAAATAAGCCTCTTGAATTGGTACATCCTGCAATCTAGAACTATTGGAGATTGATTGGGCTGCCCAAAATTGATCCAAATTTCTATTAATTGCTATCATCCCAAACCTTTCTTCAGCCAGCTGACTACCCGGCTCAACACACGATACAACTGGTACTTCATGAAGCCATTCTTCCAAAGCTTCAGAATTTCCAACGATTTCGTTTGCATACAACAAACTGACAGGAAATGATCCACTGTCATTGTCACTCCTCTGACTCAACAATTCAAATTGCATTCCATCATTTTGATCTTTCTCGGGACCAAATTCTTCGACAAAATCCATTTCGACCACTGAAACGTCCGTCGTTTCTTCACCACCTGTGAACTACGCTCCACTACCAGCCATAGAGCCATCAATGAAGACCCTATCCTCTTCATAAATTTCTGATTGAATTCTCATCATGTAGACACTTCCATTATAAATTATGGATATTTTTTCTGGAATAGAAGATTCATACTTGACTTCCAGCAAGAACCTTGCAACATCAAACATGCTTCTACTGGACGTTTCATCATCAATTTTAAGAACTTTACCCCACATACAACCTAAATCCTTGAAGAACTTTTCGCTCCAAACTGTGAGAGGAACATCCTTGAGAGTAACCCAAACTCTAGTTTTAATCCTCCTGTCATATCCTTCCAATAATTCTAACTCATCAAACCAGCTTCGAACCAATTCATTTCTCCTTACCCAGCATGCCTGACGGTCCTCTTCATTCCTGAACTCGATAACCACCAAAAAAGCTTGCCAAAGGCTTACCTTAACATCAAAACCTTCCACTGTCAATGATGATAGAATTAAATCTTCGTTATACATATTTTTTATTTTCCTACTAGGCATCTCTTTCTCAACAATAAATCCTTCTTTGGGATGAATATATTGTTGCAGAAAACTTATGCTTTTGGACTTGAACTTAGAAGCCTCTCATCTGCAATATTAACGTGAACAACATTTTCTGATCCCCTAGCTTTATATGTCAGTTGGAACCATTCTCCTTTGATTTATCCTCAACTCCCTGCATTCCTCCAACATCTCCCTGCACTCCTCCAAGATCTTCCCTATAAGACCTGGAATCCCTCAAAGAAGGCCTCTACACTTTAATAATCGATTTATCGACCTCTGTCTTCCTTGTTATATCCCCTGACATTCTGTCATGGAAAACTCAAATTCTAAACACGTCCAATACCCTACCATCAGCCCTACGCACCGCTGTGTTCGCTCCAAACTTGTTTCTAAATCTAACAAAAGCAAATGTAGACCCTGCTGATAATCTTTTTTTGCTTCTATACGCTATGAACACATCAATCACTTCTCCATACGATTGAAACGCATCCTTAAGTCTTGACGAATGAATCCTTTTACTAACGTTATTGACAAAAATGGACCAATATTTAGGAATCCTAAAAGGACTATCCACTTCTCTATACCTTCCTGACGCTCTCTCCATGGCTTTTGACTTACAGAAATTATAAAAGTATGAATAGAAGCATTTCTGGATAACCCATTCAATATGTAAAACTAAGCCTTATTCTTCTACAGCAATACCAACAAACCTAATTTCGTGAACAATTCCAGAAAACCCATTCAATTCGAACAACCCACTCACTCAATTCAAGTTAAACCCCATAGTATAACCGCAAATAATAATCATTTTCAGTGATTTAGTATAATTTCAGCAGACATAAATTACCTGAAAGGCGATGGAGAGGTTATGACGGTGGCAAACATCAAAGAACAATTTGTCGTAATCCTTGCTTCACTGGTCCCAACTCTCAATTCCCTTAAAATAATTTAGGGTTTAAAGTTTTATTTCAGACCTTTCAAACAAACCCACTCACAAAAAACAAGCTAAAAGGAGATGAAGAGGTGACGACAGCGACGAACAGGGGAGATCGGGGCTCACAAACCACATTCGACCCATTTGCTAGGTTGTTGTTACAATTCCAGTTTCTCAATCCAATATTAGATAGAGAAAATAACCTCAGTGACCAAAAATGCCTTATAATATACGATTTTAACCAACTTTTTTTGGATTTTCCAAAATGACCAACTAAATCGCAATGCGATCGATAATTCGCAACGCGATCTCCAATATCGCAAATCAGTTTCCAGATTCGCAACGCGATTCTGACTATCGCATTGCGATTTTCCTAATTCGCAATGAGAATACGTAAATCGCAATGTGAATACGTAAATCGCAATGCGAATACGTAAATCGCAATGCGAATACGTAATTCGCAATGCAAATACGTAAATCGCAACGCGAATCTGACTATCGCAACGAGATTCTGACTATCGCAACGAGATTCTGACTATCGCAATACTGAATTTTAAATTCGCAACTCGATTTCTGAATTCGCAACAGGTTTTAGTTTCGCAACACAAATGTTTTTGGTATATAACTACGCAGCAGCAGCAACTCATAACCTAAATCCCGAAATCGCAACTTCCATCTCCATCTATCACTCTATCCGGCGACATCCGTTCCTATATCCAACGACATCCTTCCCCATCCGGCAACAGGTTTTAGTTTCGCAGCTCATTTGTTTAGTAAATTAATTTACAATAATGAAATCATCTAATGTTGATCATGTTTGGATAGATTTGTGTTTTGGAGGGTCATGGGAGAATGTTCATGGTGTTTTACAATATATGCCTTTACCCATGAATCTTCAACTAAAACTGTCATTAAAAAAGTTAACTTATGAAACTCTAATGTTACGTGTTGCAAATAAATTGAATTTAGAGCCCCTAAGTGGATTTAGGCTATCTTATCAGAGAAATGGTAAAGTTTATTTGTTAACCGACAATGAAGATGTTGAACGATTCATTGCTTACATTAGTGTTTCAAGTGATGATGTTACATTATATGTTGTTGAACCTAGAAGTAGTGAAGTTGGGTCAGTAGCGGGTAGTAATCAACTAAGTTTTTCAACCCCAATTTATGGTGCTCAAAATTTAATGGTTCCACCATAATTTCATCACCAAGCAAATATTGTTTCACCACATTTCCAATACCAAACACAATCTCAAAACCCACAACCTTTCCCTAATCCAAATCTCAATCAACTTTAAGCACCAAATTCCAGTTTTCGTATTGACCAGTTAGACGATGATGAGCCAACAAAAAAAATTGTGAGTACTAGTCGGTATTCGAAATTTGATCTTGGTCAATACCCGAACTTTGATATTGGTCAATACTCGGATTTTGATGATTTTTCAGAAGAAGAAACAGACCCTGCGTGTAATGATTTTGATATTGGTCAATACCCGAATTTTGACGATGAAACAACCGTTGCCGAGGAAGATGTTGTTGATGATAATGAGGAGGAAGTTACGACTGTAAATAAACATGTTGAACATACATTCTGTAATTCATATAACCCTGAAAAAGAAAAAAAGAAGAAGAAATCCCCAAAGAAAAGTCCCCAAAGAAAATGCTACGGGAGTATAACTGGAATATGCCAGAATTACTTCAGATACCGGAAGAAGAGTTGGTAAAGATAGCAGTTGATTGTTATACAAAAATTATTCGTATCAAGAAAGATGATTGTTTTGATACAAAGGAAGACTTGAAGATAGCTTTGTATACGAAATGTGTGGAAGATGGCTATCAACTAAAAGTTAACAAATCAAGCAAAAATCGTTTCGAAACAAGGTGTATGATTGACAAAAACTATACGTGACATATGATTGCAAAGAGGATAAAAGATTGCTAAATGTTTCAAGTTAGGACTTTTATTGATAAACATACATGTTCAAGAACCCAAGTTTTTCCTCACCATAGACAGGCAAACAAAAAGGTGTTAGGTGGTTTTCTGGCTGAGTTAAAATTTTTGAATGGCAGGGTATATCGGGGACATGAAATTATGACTGACTTGAATGCTCGGTTCAAGATTAGTATCTCATATTCTCAAGCTTGGAGAGCCAAATGTTATGCCTTGGAATTGTTGAGGGGGTCGCCAGAAGCATCGTTTGCCCAACTGTCGGCTTATTGTCACAATTTAAAGCTGAAAAATCCTGGGTCGGTAACTCATATCAAAACAGATAGAGATGGACGCTTTGAGTTGCTGTTTATCGCCATTGGTGCTGCAGTTAGTAAATCAATATAATTTTGTTGACTCATTTTTGTTAGTTACATGCATTTCACATTTAAATGATTATATTTCTTGTGTATATGATTTTGTAGATTCGTTCGTTTATTACTTTCATGCGCCCAATTATTATAGTTGACGTAGCATATTTAAAAGGTCGATACCTTGGAGTAAACTTATTAGCAGTAGCCATGGATGCTAACAATGGGATACTGCCAATAGCTTACGGGGTTGGCAAATCTGAAACCTCTGATTCATGGACATGGTTTATGGGGCATCTTAAGGATTGCATAGGTCCTATTAGCAATCTGACAATCATATCCGATAGGGCAAACTCAATTGACAACGCTGTTAGAAGGTGTTTCCCAGATGCTTTTCATGGACTTTGTGGTGTTCATTTGTATAGAAATATAAAATCAAGGTCTGTTGGTATAAAAAATAACAAATGGACATACTGGAAGGTTGTAAAAGCTTATCGGGAAGTGGATTTTAATAAGCATATAAACTGTTTAAGACGTGTTTTTCCTCAGTGTGCTCAAACACTAGAAGATGTCGGGTTTGAAAGATGGTCAAGAGTACATCAACTTGGAGCAAGATATGGTTTCATGACGTCTAATAGTGCAGAATCAATCAACGCTCTAAGTCGTCATTCCCGGAAATTACCCATTACTATGTTAATGGAGTTTTTTCGAGCCTCTACTCAACAATGGTACTACAAGAAAAGAAATCATGCAGGTATTATTTCTTTAAATTCGTAACTTATCATATATTTTACTAAGTATTATTTATTTAAATTTACAGGAACATTGGAACATCATGTTACACCATGGACTGAAAAAAAGATAACGAAACGTGTTGTGAAGTCAACGTCATGGAGAGTTGAACCATGTTCAAACACTTTGTTTGAAGTACTGGATAATAACTTAAATGGGCTTGTTGATCTAAATACAAAGACGTGTAGTTGTATGAAATGGCAAACATCTGGTTATTCGTGTGACCATGTTATAAAAGTTGCTCTTCATCTAAACCAAGATGATTCAAGCGCATACGCTATGGATTGCTACACTACAGAAGTATATCGACAGACTTATGTCGAGATTGTCTACCCTATTCCACATCCTTCTGAGTGGGACATACCAGATGACTTACAAACAGTTTTGCCACCAGCCATGGACAGAAGGCTACCTGACCGACCAAAAAGTCACGATCGTATACCGTCTAAGGGTGAAGAGAAGAAGAGATCGACATGTAGTCGGTGCAAGGAAAATGGTCATACAAGGTTGATATGTGGATCACCAGTGCCATCACAATCATATTTTCCTCTACCAAAATATGGATCCTCATCAAAATCCCAATCACAACCGGCTTCACCTTTTGAGACTGTTAACTTAGGTGATTTTTAAATGAAAACGTTGTATTATGTGTATATTATGTGTGAACTTTTAACATTTTCAGTTAGGCATGTATTAGTAACTTGAGTTTGAACATTGTTATGATATGTTCAGTTGTTATCACTTATTAGACATTCATTTGACTATCGCAACGCGGAAATCGCAACGCGAATATGACTATCGCAACACGGAAATGACTATCGCAATACGGAATTGACTATCGCAATGCGAAATGAAAATCGCAACGAGAGAATCGCAAAACGAAATGAAAATCGCAACGAGTGAATCGCAATGCGAAAATGAAAATCGCAACGCGAATTTAGTTTCACGTTGCGATTTTCATTTTCGCATTGCGATTCTCTCGTTGCGATTTTCATTTCGCATTGCGATTCTCTCGTTGCGATAGTCATTTCCGCGTTGCGATAGTCTGTTTTGCATTCAACATAATGTAGATTGAAATCAACAAATCAAATATTATATTTCAATCAATTAAACAAGCACAAATAATAATTATGTACACATCAATTAAACAAATCAACATTTGCAAATCATCTTTTACAAATCAATTAAACAATCAAAAAATAATAATAAGAATTATTTCCTCATCAATTATTGAATCAACTTTTGCACCCATACATCCATTTCACGCAGCTCACTTCAGGATTAACCTGCATAAACCAAACATTGAATCAACAACACTTTCTACACATCTAAAACCTACAAACAACAAATTATTGAATTCTAGCTACTTAACCAAACATTTTCAAACCAAAAAGAGTATATATGTTTAACAACACTTGCATTTGACTTACAAATTGTTTATAGACACTTTCATAACGCGGATGCAGGTAGGCAGCATCTCGCATATATCGCTCGGTGGGAGGTAGAAACTGTGTACTTCCTGTCGTCAAACGCTCCAAGCACATGCATACGAGAGGACCACAATCCCCTCTGGCTTCCTT